TTCCGTGACCAGCAACAGCTCAGAAAGCCGCACAGTCTGCACAGCCCTCCTGTCGCCAGCAAGGAGGTGACCAGTGATGACCACGCCCATCATTTTGTCCCTGCGTCCGACCTAGGACCCACAGGTGGAAGCCGGACGTGCCCCCAACCGTCACAGGGCCCCCTTCTCGCCCCTCGTCCAGTTTCTCCAGGTTCACAGCCCCCATCAGGCACCCCTGAGCTCTCCCTTTTTCCACAAAGAAGCTCTCCATACACAGAAAATATTTTAACACATTAACATATACATCATATACTATGCATACCTGTAGTAAGTGTGTCTGTCACAGACCTGCACGTGTGTGCTGTAACACCCAGCAGCACACACACATGATACAAGCACCAAGCTCCCCCGGCCCCTCCCTGCCTGGAGGCCTTGCTGAGCCCGGGGATGGGCGCAGACTCCCTGGCTGCAGCAGCTCCGAGAACCCAGCTTTTGCCTGTCCTATTAGAGTGCCCACCACACCCTCATCAGAGAAGGGAGAGGTGCCCACCAGGGCTAGGAGGACCAGAGGGCTCAAGTTAAGGCCTGGTACCCTGGTCTGCAGTGGGACATGTGGGCAGCATCCCTGTGGGAGGCAGGGAACAGGTGACCGCCAGGACTCTCACTGTCTCCCTAGGGTCCTGGCACCAGTCGCCCCACCCACACACACCCAATGAGGCGCCTCTGCTGCGTCTGGACTCCCCCAGGTCATCTGAGACAGCACCCACCCAGAGAAACGGGAACTTCCGGAAGCAGGCGGTGCCACCGGTTTCAGTCCCATTCTTAGTGTTCGCAGGGTGGTGGTTAGGGGGTTCACACTCCGGGTCCGCAACTGAATTCCTAGGATGTTCAGCTACCACTTCCTAGAAAGTGGGGCTGCGGACAAAGAGCCCAACCTGGAGGAGCACATGTGCCTAGGACAGAGCAGGGAAGGGGAAGGGGTGCCCAGGAGACCCAGGCTGCAAAGAAGCCACCTCCACAGCTTCCACCTTCGGTGAGTGGGGTCCAGGAGGGACAGACACAGACGGAGTGCAGGGGGGCAATGAAGGGGAGACCCCACCTCAGGGATGGGACCCCACAGGGGTTACAGGAGGGACAAGGACAGACGGAGTGTGGGGAGGGCAATGAAGGGGAGACCCCACCTCAGGGATGGGACCCCACAGAGGGTCCAGGAGCACCTGAGCGAGCAGGAGGAAGGCAAGCTGCCCAGCGGTCGTGCTGCCCACCCAGCTCAAGGATGAGGGAGCCCTGGCAGGGGCTTGCCCACACCAGCGGAGCTGGTGCATCAGAGGCCAGTGGAGCTCAGCTAGGCCGCCAGGCCTTCAGGGAGCGGGTCACGGTCAGTGGGCAGAAGCCTGCCCGGGCTGCACGGGGTCAGTTGTGCCAGAGACACAGGGCTGGCCTGGCTTCCCGAGAGCTTGGAGCTCGCAGCACAGGGGCTGCCCACCAGCTCCACTGGCTACAGGAGGGGCGATGGAGCCAGGGCGCAGAGGGTCAGGACTAGGAGCTGAGGGCTGGGAGCAGGGGGCGCAGAGACGCAGACCAGCACCTGGAGGGAACTAAGGAACAGGGAGACTTCTGGGGGCTCAGGGAGCAAAGAAGAGGCTTAAGGTACCCAAGGGCCAGGAGCTCTGCTGGGAGGGGACCAGGGTGGGACAGAGACTCTGCTGGGGGAGAGCTGCCCAGAAAGGGAGGGGCACCGAGCAGCTCCAGGGAGAAGGGCCCAGGAGCAGAGCGGAACGAGGGGGGTGACCTGCGGCAGGTCACAAGGCAGGGGCTGCTAAGGGCCAGCACCCCAGGGACAAAGCTCAGGGAGGCCGCAGGTGAGCAGGAGACTGAAGCCCAGGAAGGCAGGGGGCTTCTCAGGAATATGGAGAACGCAAGTAGAGCACGTGCGGGTGAGCAGGGGCTGGGGGGCAGGGTGGCTGCTCCAGCCTCTCCAGGAAGCAGGTAGGGCTTGTGCAGGTGGGTAGGGGCTGAAGGGGCACAGGGCTCACACAGCATTTCAGGAAGCAGGCAGAGTTTATGCAGGTGGACAAGGGGCTGGGAGGGCAAGGAGCTGACCCAGGAAATCCAAAGAGCAAAGCCAGGCCTGGGAAAGAAATTCCCGGACTGGATCTGAACTAGGCTGAGGGCTCTGGGGCTGGCCAGAGGGGCTGGGGCTGTTCAAGGCCTGTAGCTCCAGGGACAGGGGTCAGAGAGGGTGTAGGTGAGCAGGGGCCTGCACCAGGACGGCAGGGGGCTGCCGCAGGTGGGCAGAGAGAGCAGGTAGACCTTGTGGGGGTGAGCAGGGGGCTGCACCAGGAGGGCGGGGGGCTGACGCAGGGGCTCAGAGAAAGCAGGTAGACCTTGTGGGGGTGAGCAGGGGGCTGCACCAGGAGGGAAGGGGGCATCTGCAGGTGGGCAGAGAAAGCAGGTAGACCTTGTGGGGGTGAGCAGGGGGCTGCACCAGGAGTTGTGGGTGCTGCCGCAGGTGGGCAGAGAAAGCAGGTAGACCTTGTAGGGGTGAGCAGGAGGCTGCACCATTAGGGCAGGGGACTGACACATGGGCTCAGAGAAAGCAGGTAGACCATGTGGGGGTAGCAGGGGGCTGCACCAGGAGTGCGCGAGGCTGCCGCAGGAGCCCGGGGACATGGCAGAGAGTTTGAGCTAAGGTCTGAGTAGGTGAGCAGGCCCAGCTGAGGGCTCCTGGGACAGCAGGACCCTTGAGCCCCTGAGGGGCTGGCCAGATGGCGTGCTGAGGTGGAGAGAGGTCCCTGGCAAGGGAGTTCTGTGGGAATGAAGGAGAGGGGTCACCCCTGAGGGGACCCGATGGGCCCCAGTCCTTGGGCTTAAGGGCCCGTGGCGGGATGAGAAAGGAGGGGTGGACGTGCCATAGCCTGGTGGAGTGAACAGACCCTGGGCCCAGCAGAGGGAAGGAAAACGCGGGGCTCGTTCAGGGCCTGAGCTGGGCTGCCAGCCAGAACAGAGCAGATGGGTCACGGTGAGAGGAGACAGACCCGGCCAGAGATGGGCCTGGGCTGCTGACACCGAACAGGAGGGGAAGGTGGGGGCAGTGTGGGGCTCCGAACTGTGCTGAGGGATGACCTGGACTGAGAATGGACAAGGGCAGAAGGAAAGCAGGGACCTGAGAGCCACAAGCTGGGGTGGGGTCAGAGGCCCCGGTAGGAGGGGGAAGTGAGCCGAGGGGCTGTAGCTGGAGGTCCAGAAGAGGGACCGGAGCTCCCCAAGGCACAGACTCG